AAGCTGTCCCCCTGGGTAGAGTGCTGTGGCATCACAGCTCACAGCAACCTCCAACTCCTGGGCTCAAGCGAGTCTCCTGCCTCCACCTCCCAAGTATTTGGGACCACAGGCACCCACCACAACGCCCAGCTGTTTTTTGCCCTCGTTGTTTGGCGGGCCTGGGTGGATTTGAACCCACAACCTTAGGTGTATGTGGCTGGCGCCTTAGCCACTTGAGCCACAGGTGCTGAGCCTGTTATTCTTTCTTCCTTTTTTCTTTTCTTTTATTATTTCTTTCTTTTTTCCTCTTTCTTTTCCTCTTCTTTCTTTCTGCTCACTCTTTCCCCTTCTCCTCCCTTTGGCCTTATACCAAGAGGCCCCGTCAGCACCTTAATTCTGAGACAAGGTAGTATGAAGCAAAGGAGGAAGAGTGAAGGAAAAAGGAGCACTAGGAGGTGAACAAGAAGAAATGATACATGAGGAGGAACCAACAGAAAAATTCAGGCACCATGAAAAACCAAAATAGAGCAATTCCTCCAAGGGACCATGAGGCAGATTTTACACAAGACTCTTCCTATAGGGCAGTGCTTGTGGCTCAGTGATTAGAGCACCGGCCCCATATACTGAGGGTGGTGGGTTCGAACCCGACCCTGGACAAACTGCAACAAAAAAATAGCCAGGTGTGGTGGCAGGCACCTGTAGTCCCAACTACTTGGGAGGCTGAAGCAAGAGAATTGCCTAAGCCCAAGAGCTGGAGGTTGCTGCGAGCTATGATACCACAGTACTCTACTGAGGGCAACAAAGTGAGACTTTGTGTCTAAAAAAAAAAAAAAAAGAAGAAGACTCCTCTCATAGAGAATTAATGCATTTGACAGAAAGGGAGTTTAAAATTTGGATGATTAAGACAACACAGAGAAGGGATGAGAAAATGGAAAGACAGAACCAAAAGTTGGGCAAGAGATATGTAGAATATAGAAAGGATATGGCAAAGCTTAAAGAAATGAAGGAGACAATCAGGGAATGTAAAGATGCAGTAGAAAGTATCAAAAATAGATTAGACCAGGGAGAAAGAACTTCAGAGCTAGAGGATAAAGTTGTTGAGTTAACCCAGGTAGTTATAGAGGCAGAAAAGAAGAGAAAGAAAGCAGAACAGGCGCTTAGAGAACTATGAGACAAATAACAGGAATAATAATACAAATAGCAGGAATTCCTGAAGGGGAAGAAGATTGTCCCAAAGGCATGGAAGCCCTGTTGGAGACTATCATAAATGAAAACTTCCCAAGTTTTACTAAAGATTCCGACATACTCCTTTCAGGTGGGTATCAAACCCCAGGGCATCTCAACTCTAAAAGAGCTTCTCCAAGACACACTGTAATGAACCTGTTCAAAGTCAAGATGAAGGAGAAAATTCTGCAAGCAGTTAGGAGTATGCACCAACTGACTTACAAGGGCAGAGCCATTAGGATGACAGCAGACTTTTCAACTGAAACTTTCCAAGCCAGAAAAGCATGGTCAACATTCTTTTTTTTTTTTTTTTTTGGTCATGGGATCTTTAATTAGATCTTGCAAATGCATATAAAGCAAAGGAATCATCATTGTAAACAAATAAATGAAAGCTGAGCATGACTTTCAGTAAATTAACATAAAATTTGCAAAGAAAGGAGAAGAGAACATTTTCTAGTATTAGCTAGGAATGGCCACTCCCAAGTACTAAGTATAATTTTGGGGCTAATAGTAGTCAAAATAGAGAAAGTGGAAGGTCTTTTTTGTATGGATAAGATTATTGTGTCCCTGTAGCCTGGATACTGATTGCTGCGATGAAATTGGATCTCTCAAGCATTTCTTCCAATGGCAAATTGGGGTAGTAAGCCAGGTAGAAGGCCAAAGCTCCCACGAAGCTGTTACCAGCACCCGTGGTATCCACAGCCTTGACTTTCTCTGTGGGAATGTGCTTGGGGACAGGTTCTGTCTGTGTGAGCATCACACATCCTTCAGCTCCTAAGGTGATGATTACCACCTGGCAGCCCCTTTCCAGGAGCACTAATGCAGCCTCTCCAGTATCCGCAGTGCTGCCCACCATGTGGCCAGTTAAAATCTCAGCTTCACTTTCATTGCAGCAGAACACATCTGAGAGGGTGTAGAACTGAGGATCCAGGTGAGCAATGGCAGGAGCTGGGTTGAACAATGTTTTCACTCCATTGCTATGGGTATTTTCGCGCTTCCAAAGAAGTTGCTGGAGTTACTTCTAGTTAACAGATCATTACTTTGGCTCCGCTAATGACACTGGCTGCTTCCCTCAGGTCCTCAGTATTCAAAAGTAAATTTGCTCCAGCCACTATGATGATGATATTCTGGTCTTCATTATTGACAATTACAGAAGCAGTTCCTGTAGCAGCATTTTCAGTCTAATATGTGAATTATATAGAAATACCATTCTGTTTTAAGTTTTCTATATAGTCATTGCCAAAACAATCTTTGCCAACCTTGCATACCATGGATGTCTTTGCTCTGAGTCTAGCAGCTTGGACACACTGGTTGGCACCTTTCCCTCCAAAGCCAGTTAAAAACTATGTCCATGGATGGTTTCTCCAGTTTTTGGCAAACGAGAAGTAAGACTGACTAGGTCGGTCATGCAGGAGCCCACCACTACTACTGCCACCACCTCCTCCTGCCACTGCCTCTTGGGTTCCCCTGATGCCACCATTACTCAGAAGTGGTGCTGCCCTTTCTACTTTCAACATTCTTAAACAAAACAATTTTCAGCTTACAATTCTGTATCCTGCCAAACTAAGCTTTAAAATTGACAGAGAAATCAAATCTTTTATGGATATATAAGCACTGAGGAAATTTGCTACAACAAGACCAGCCTTACAGGAAATACTTAGATCTATTCTCAACACCGAATACCACAATGGACCACCACCAAATTAAATACCTAGAAGCTAAAGGCCTAAAACTTAGCTTCCACAATGGTGCAAAGGATAAATCTACCCAACAGACTTTCTCATAATAAGACGAATAAAATTCTAAAATGTCAATGGATTGAATTCCCCACTGAAGAGGCACAGGCTGGCTGACTGGATAAAAAAGCATAAGCAATCCATATGCTGTCTCCAAAAGACACACTTAGCCTTAAAGGACAAATCAACACTCAGGGTTAAGGGATGGAAAACAGTATTTCAAACAAGTGGAAATCGGAAGAAAGGAGGGACTGCAATCTCATTCTCAGACACAAGTGGATTCAAAGCAACTAAAGTTAAAAAAGACAAAGATGGCTCGGCACCTGTGGCTCAAGTGGCTAAGGCGCCAGCTACATACACCTAAGGTGGCAGGTTCGAATGTAGCCCGGCCTGCCCAAACAACAATGATGGCTGCAACCAAAAAAATAGCCGGGTGTTGTGATGGGCGCCTGTGGTCCCAGCTACTTGGGAGGCGGAGGCAGGAGACTCGCTTGAGCCCAGGAGTTGGAGGTTCCTGTGAGCTGAGAAGCCATGGCACTCTACCCAGGGGGAAAGCTTGAGGTTCTGTCTCAAAAAAAAAGAAATACAAAGATGGTCACTTGATATTCATCAAAGGAACCCTACAACAAGAAGACATGTTGATTTTAAATATTTATGCACCTAACTTAAATGCTCCCAGATTTATGAAACAGACTTCGAGGAGTCTGAGCAATATGATATCCCTTAACACCATATAGCCGGGAACTTTAACACCTTTCTCATGGAAATGGACAGATCCTCTAAACAGAAACTAAACAAAGATACAAAGGACGTAAACGTGACCCTAGAACAAATGGGATTAATATACATATACAGAACATACCATCCCAAAGCAAACAAATACACATTTTTCTCATCAGCCATGGCACATACATGCTCCAAAATAGATCACATTCTAGAATACAAATGAAACCTCAGCAAAATTAAAGAAATAGAAATTATACCTTGTCTCTTTTCAGACCACAAGGCAATAAAGGTGAAACTCAATTCTAACAAAAACGTTCATCCCCACACAAAGGCATGGAAATTAAACAAACTTATGCTGAGTGATTGTTGGGTTCAGTAAGAGATAAAAGAGGAAACTGTTAAATTCCTTGAACATAACAGCAATGAAGACACAAGTTACCAAAACCTGTGGGATAGAGCAAAAGCAGTTCTGAGAGGAAAATTTATGGCACTAGATGCCTACATTTGAAAAACAGAAAGTGAGCACATCAAGAAACTCACAAACCTGGCTCGGCGCCTGTGGCTCAACTGACTAAGGCGCCAGCCACATACACCTAAGGTGGCGGGTTCGAATCCAGCCCGGGCCCGCCAAA